AGAGCACAAGCAGGGGAGGGGCAGAGAGAGAGGGAGACGCAGAATCCAGAGCAGGCTCCAGGCTCTGAGCCGACAGCAGTGAGCCCGATGTGGGGCTCGAACTCACAAACTGCGGGATCATGACCTGAGCTGAAGTCGGATGCTCAACCGACTGAGCCACCCAGGCGCCCCGCATACAGCCTATCTTTGTACGTTGACACACGCCGTACTACCCCCTTCCTTATGATATTGAAGGGAGCCCCAGTGTCTTATCATTTCACCTTAATATGTGGGCATGTAGCTCTAAACATCTTGATAAACAAAGCTGCGGACAATTCCACTCATAGGTGAGTGCCCGGGGGGACCGGAGGTACATTCAGCCACAGCCATGGGCGGGAATGTTCCTAGCATGATTCCTCGTCACCAAAAGGTAGCCAGCTGTCCACTGATGGATGAAGGCATAAACCAAACGCCCTCTATCCGTACAAGGAGTCGTACAGCCAAAAAGGAGCGAACCCCTGACACCTGCTACGAGATGGATGAACGCCGTGAACATGATGCTGAGGGAAAGAAGCCAGAAGCAAAAAGCCACATGGTGTAGGATTGCATCTCTACGAGGGATCCAGAAGAGATGAGTTGACAGAGAGACAGAAAGCAGATGATTGGTTGGCAGGGGCCGGGCGGTGACTAGTATTTAGTATCGAATTTCCTCTCGGGGTCACGAGAATGTTCTGGAACGAGATGGTGGTGATAGTTACACCACGTTGTGAGTCTACTAAAACCCGCCACACGTTATACTTTAAAAGCGTCACATTTTATGGTATGCGAATTCTATCTCAGCTTTTAAAAACCACCACGTCGTCATTATGCCTTAAAAGAAAAAAATAAATCGTCATCCTTAGTGTTAGGGATCTTGCCCAGCACCCCTTCTAGGGCTCATTCCCTGACTGGCCCATAAGTATCTTTATTTCCCATTGTTGTTTGAATCACATCCTAACAAGGTTCACACGTTGTGTGTGATTAACACATGGATAAAGGTCTTTAAACCAGAAGGTTCTTCTCCCCAGCTCTTTTCTTGCGATGGGTTCGTGGAAGGACCCACGCCCTCTGCCTTTGCATCTTCCCACGGTCTGGGTTCTGTCGTATCCCTGGGGTGGAAGATCCCACATTCCCAGTCTGGCTGGCAGCCCGAGCGGGGCACCCCACTCCACCCCGAGGGGTGGCTGGCCAGTTGGTAGACGACAGGGAGCCAGGTGAACAGCAAGGGCTAGGCCGTATCTGTAAAGCATTTGCTGAGTGAATGGGGTTGGTGGTTGGACACCAGGAGGTCCCCAACAAACCAGACCCTTGCAGGCCTTCTTTCCATGGAGCGTGGATTTCGCGCGGCCCTCCCACTGCGGTTGGGGCCATGCTTGGCCCTGTGTGGAGGTCAGGGCAGGACAGTGGGGCCTCTGTCCTCAGCCAGGTGGCTTACACCTGTGCCCTCCCATCAGGTGGCCGCCAAACTCCCATCCTGGCCCACAAAGCCATGCGGGACAGGACGGGCTACCCTCCGCCGGCTGGCCAGTTTGCACCCAATGCTAGGACACGGCCGGGTCCTTCCCTGCTTAGGGCCTTTGCACCTGCTCTTTCCTCGGCATCAGCACTTGTTCGCCACACATGCTGATGCTCGTGAGCTGAAAATGTGAAGTTCTGTGTCTCCCTCTCGGTGTCTCTCTGCCCCTCCCCACTCGAGCTCGTGCTCTCTCTCTCTCTCAAAAATAAGTACACATTAAAAATGTTAAAAAGTGGTTTGTTGTTGTCCTCAAGTTCCATTTCACTGAGATCCCTTATTATTACTATTTTTAAGTAGGCTTCACACAGCGTGGATCCCGATATGGAGCTTGAAGCCGAAACCCTGAGATCAGGACCTGGGCTGAGATCAAGAGTCGGACGCCCAGCCAGCTGACCCACACGGGCATCCCACGGGCTCCCTTTTTTTTACTTGGGAGATCCTCAGCCCTACTGAGGAGGAATGACACGGCCACTGTCAGGGTGGGTCTTAACGAGTACCACCCACGGCAATGCAGGCCTAGGGATGACAGGCCTTGGAGGCTGCAGCTTTCGCCCTGCCCCATGTGGGGGACAGGCTTTTCCAGCCCTTGGTGACCCCCACCAAGCCTCTGTGCCAGCTGTCTGTCTCCCTCGGGGTAAGGATCAGAACATTCCAGCCAGGCTGGCCCCCCTCCCTCCCACCCCACCACACCCACCTCCCTGGTTGGGCTCTAGGCTCCGGAGTTAAGTCATGTCAGTTCACACCCAAGCTGCTGCTTTCTGAGCCAGGGCTCCTGGGGGCCCATCTGGGGGAGAGGACGGTGCTCAGTCCTCTGTCCCCGGGGCCATTTGCCCCGGGGCCCACAGTAGGTGTTTGGGAAAGGGCCACCAAGCTGGGTGTGCAGTTCCTGTACTCCCATTAAGACAGACGTGTCTCAGTGGAAGGAGTGATTCTGATACGGGGCTCACTTCCTATGTGCTGCCCCAGGCCCCTCTGCTGATGACCACGAGTGGCCGTCACCAGAGCCGCTGTTTCCTGAGCCCCAGCTCTGAGGAGGGCATTCTCCATGTGATTTCTCCAGGTCTTGCATCATCCGTGATGACAGGGCAGAGGGAAGGTGTGGCCCCATTCTACAGGTGTGGAGACTGAGGCCAGAGAAGTGAAGTCCCCTGCCCGAGACCATCCAGACAGGAAATGGTGGACCCGTGTTCCCAGTCTGGCCTGCCCAACTCCAGGTGTTGACCTCCAAGGACCATTCAGAGGCCAGTGGGCGCCTGAGCCCGGAGGCTCTTTCCTTGAGGTTGGTCTGGCCCCAGGGCCAGGGATCAGAGACGAGGCCGCTCTTTGAAACTGCACTCCACGCCCTCCTGAGCCTGGACCGGCAGAAGGTGACAATTGTCAGGATCCCAGTGGCCATATTCAGCGGTAACAGTGCGAAGGGAGAAGGTCAGTGTTTCCCCAAAGTCTCTGCCCTCAGAGATTCTGAGAGCTCATACTAAAGGCAGATGCCCAGGCCCTGGCCCTGGAGATTCAGAAGGCCTGGAGTGGGGCCCGGGAATCTGCCTTTGAACCAGGAGACCCAGGTAAATCCATTGCAGCTGATTTCAAAGTCAATGATGACTTAATTCCCTGCAGAACGCAGGTGTTCCCTGCCTACCCCTCAAATTCTACTGGCTGACCCTGCCGAGGGCCAGCTGGGAGAGCGTTTCTTCCTGGGGATCAAATGCTGAGCCCCCAGGTCTGGCCCTGGTATCTGCACCCTCAGCCCGTGCCCCGATGTGGACAGGTCAGGAAGGGGCAGAGTGGCACGACCTTGTATTTGTGGGGTGACTTCCACGTGGCAGAGGCACAGCTATTTCTCAAGGCACCCCCCAACCAGATCGCCAAGAATGACAGTTTGTCCCCAAATGGGATTTCCAAAGGGGGTTTCCTACCTTCTCACCCCCGTGGGGACTCTCTGAGCCCCAACTTAACAGATAGCAACAGCTGGTGACTCTCAGAGTCGGAGGAAAAGCCCCTAAATGTTTTGCAACGGCTTCTCACCTCCACCTGCCCTCCCTTGAGTGTCCCACCCCAGGCAGCTGGGGACTAGTGGAGTCAGGAGATGGGGAGGGTCCTTGTCCTGGGCCAGGAAAGACTTTCAGGCGGCCAGACTTCCTTCCTGGGAGATACCTGGGGAGGCCTTAACATCCGGAATCACTACCATCACTGCTAATAATACTTATTTTGTGCTCAGTGTGTCTGGCCCCCGGATGAGTGAAGATCTCACTGTGTGCAACAGTGGTTGTTGGTTGCAGCAGATTCACCTGTTGAAAGACAGGTTCCAGGGTCTGCATTCCAGGCCTTCCCAATCTCCAGGGCTGGGCCTGGAAATCTGCTTTTCATAAGGGCCCGGGGGGCGGGG